TATGCAAACAAGCATCCACGACGAAAACTGAATGTTCGGATAGGTAAAGATAGTTTTTGTGGTCGTTATGTAAGAGTGTATGCCGTACAAGCTTACATTATATATCAAAAGAAGCCATCTCTCGAACAAGATTGACATTGCAAGCGACATATCAGAAACTGCTAGAGCAATGAAGAACGTTGATGTTGAAGATTTTCTGTTCTGCTTCTGTAACATAACTGCGATTATCATAATGTTTCCGAAAAGCGATAGTAAAACCAAACCAATTATTGCCCAATTTACACAATTCCGTATAGTTTTATACGGTTCCGGAACTTCAAAGTTTGTACCGTAGTACAAGTATTCGTAATTGTCAATAGATATATTTGTACTTCCATTTGCCGTCATCAAATTGCTATCATTGTCAATAGATATACTTTTACTTCCATTTGCCATTTTAAGAGGATGTTTCGTCATTCAATTATAATCTCATATGTTTAAAAAGTCAGTCGACATCAGTAGTTGATGAAGGTTTTAGCATAAGTGCCGCAATAAGACCTAAATGATCATTTATATAGCATAAATTGTATTATGCAAATCACGCAAGATAGCGTGTGTCAAAATTCAGGCTAAAATAATTGAAACCTTCACTTTTGTCTAGGGACGACTTAATGCACAAATGTATACAATTACTTAGATGAATATTGATATTATCAATTGAGTTCTGAAAGACTAATAAGCCTTCCAGAAGGCGGGGGGCGGCATGATTATCATTTAGTAAAAATTGTACATACGATTTAGTTTTATATTGCAAACATTACAGACAAACAAAAGTACAACACTCTCAAACCTATAAGCACTTGAAAAAAAAATGAAAATGCTGATTGCACTTCTTACATTTTTACTGTGAATATTTACATCCTGCCATTTATCTATGATATACAAGCCTTGCCTTGTTAATCTTATTCTTGTTTTTTTTGTAAATTCAATTAATCACTGAAAACTTTATAAGAATATCTAGTCATCAGATGTCTTTTAGTTCATCGTCATTTGCTGCATTTCTTGCTTGGACGCCCTTTGTTACTGTGCAATCAATGCTTTTCTTGTTATATCTTGATAATTTTATACCATTTACCGCGAAACATGCAAAGGACCTTTTTTGAAAAGTAAAGTCAATGAAAGTTTATGTTTTGGCTTATTTACCTATAGATTTTTATATTTCTTACCATGATAAGTTGTTTATATTTATCGAAAATGAGTAGGATTATAGGTACAAAAACAATTTACATGCTTTTATATTTTTATCATCTTATGTTACTGACTACAGTAGTGACAAACAGAACACTGTTGCACTACAGGCATGTCACATTACATTTACGAGTCTTGTATTCACTATCCCTCATGTACAGACTCAATCAAACCGGGTGTGCAATTCTCTTGTATTTTTGTTGTGATTAATGCTTCTGAGGGATCACTTTGTTTTCAGATTTTTATACTTCACAACAGCAGATGTCAAGTGCTGTGTGGCAGCTGTAAAAGTTGCTCCGTACTTCACTTCAGTGTTGTTATATTTTTCTGGTCCTTCGGGATCATTATACCAGCACTATTAAGTGTTGGGAATTGAGTACCGCTCCCAAGCCGGTGCTAGGGGGCATGAGGGATGTTGCACGTATTCATTATCCCAAATGTTCATACTCAATCAAACCGAGCCTGCAATTCTCTTGTAATTTTGTTGTGATTAAAGATTCCTAGGGATCACCTTTTCCAGATTTTTGAAAGTCTTGTTTGTATTCAATGGAATTACTTTCCTTACCAAATAGTCTTCAGTGAAAGCATATTTAAAAATAAATATCTGGACCCTCTCTTATGGACAATGCATGCGATAAGTATAATTCTGCAAAAAATGATTTACAAAACAATCGAAATAATGTACAATAGTACTTAATCTGAATATAGCATGACCTGTGCGTAGGAATGATTTGGTGAGCGCATTTTTTGTTGCGCGGAGCTTCTCAATTGCTGCCTTGCAGCAACATTTGTACTTGTCATTCATAAATATGACATGCTGCGAATCACCAAAGGGCAAACCAGTAAATGACTTTACATGATAGAAATCGGAAGGAATTTTTGGTTCCGAATATATTTTAGCTGTAAATTGAAGGGGCTTATTGATCAAAATCGGGTATATGGACAAAATAAATGTAAACACAAATAGCTCCGCGCCCGTGCACTCAAACATTTATTTGACTCCTTGACATACGGATAAACACTCTCACTCTGCTTACAGAAAGTTTGACAAATCATTCGATCTGAAATAGAATAACTAACATGACAAATCAGGCAGGAAATTTGAAATATCTATATAGAAAATCAACGTGTTACTAAATCCAGATTCTAAAAGATATTTTTGTTCAGATCAACACGGTAATCCTAAAGATAAACCCTCTAGAACATGTCTTAATACTAATCAGTTACGTACGTTTTACCGCCTTGCCTTTTGTTTTGCCTTAAAATGTGTATAACACGTTACCACACGGTTTATATTATACAAGGGCGGATACAGAACATGGTTTCTTGGGAGGGGGGCTGACATATTGGTGGAAGATTTTGACAAAAATAATGCAACATGCGAAACTTAGGCCAATATCTTATTCATGTGACAATAAATTGTAATTGATGTGTTTTTAAAGCTCATCTGATGAGTGGCTATGTACTTTCGCTTATATATTTGTATACTAATATTTTCACAAATATTTACATGTACATGTTATGGAATTTAGAAAATATATGTAATTGGTGTGGGCCTGGGAGGGGTGTCCCCTCCCATAGACTGAGAAAATTTTGAAATATGAGGTTGAAAATGGTGTTATTTCCTTGACTATCTTGTGCTGTTTATGACACATTTTGGATGGTTTTACGGGTAAAGCATTTACAAAATAACAGCACACTAACCAGTGTATGCGCGACTGTTGATAAAAATAATTTCAAACACTTGATCAATTTACTCATCTGAATAATAGACGATTTTCCAAGTAAAGTATTAAAATACTGCCTTTCTATTGCACAAAAAATAATTTCAAACACTAATATACATTATACAATAAGATTTTTTTCCCATCAATGAATCCATTTTTAAGATACTAAAGATGTCAGTGCAATTTAAATTTTATTTAAAAAAATATAACTGCAATAAAAAAGTTACTAAAAGCAAATGACCAATCAGTTCATCTGAATAAAAATCTTAGTAAAACTAGTTATTAAAACGCGATTCATTTAATATAATCTTTATAAAACTCGCCATCTTTTTAATCTACAGATAATAATTTTCAATTTCTTAATCTAATCATAGGGCTTTCGCAAAGAAAATTGAAAAACAAAGATAGTAAAATATGGTGTACAATGTAACACATCTATTTGCCACTATCTGTGACTATTAATTTCATTAGACCTTTGGAAAGTAATAAACCAATCAATTATGCAGTTTAAACATTGAAGTCATTCAAGCATGTTGATAGATAAAGATCTCTGCCAAGCCCCCAGGCAGGAGATTAACAACTGGATGACAGCAATGAATGTTTTGATAAGGAAGTACACTACATCCAATTAAGTTTGAAACTTAAAAAATATATTCCAGCCCAGCTGGTAAACGTATTTGGGCCGAACTGGGGGGACTGCAGCCCTGAAGCCCGGACCTGAATCCGCCACTGAATATATATATGCCCGTTATGATTGCCGTATTTGGTAAAGATGACTTCGGTTATAAGATAGAACAATAATAGATATATTTACAGTGCATGACACTAGAACATAATAACTTATGTATTAAACTAATATAAAGATATTACTACATTGATATGGACCCAAGCGACATTGACATTCAGTTTGGTAGGCTTTCCTGAGTGTAATTGGAATCTTTTAAAATTCTTCTAAAAATACATGTATTCAGTTTGATCATACTGACTAAATATTTTCTGATCTATCGCCATCTTCAATTCTGAAAGCATTACACAAATTTAGGCAGGATGAGACAAGATGCACATGAACATACACGTGATACATGAAAACTGTGTTTGCTTTTTCCTCTTGATTTGTTCTGTTTGAAATGTTTCTTGAATGAAATTCCGTTTAACTTTTAAAAGCTTTTATAAACATAGGTATAAGATGTAACATGAATAATTTGTTGTGTATTTTTTCCATATAATAACAACAATAGTGTATTAAGCTGTATAACTTCTGCAAAAAGGTGTTATTTGGATTTTGATAAAGAATATTTCCAAAGTAAATGTATGAAAGGCATATGTTTGCATATTTTTTCAGAGCGAATCCCAAAATGCACGAAATCATTGCTGAACAGCTAGATCCTTGCTTAAAATAGCACAATTACATTTTTGTTGCGGAACATTTTTTTCTATTTACATACAATTTGCGTATTCGGCATATTACTGAAACATCCTGTCAGTGTGTTACAATCGACCATAAGATTCTGAAAACATCAAAGTTTTGTTGTGTTTATTTTTTACAACTTCCTTTAGATATAACTTAATTTGAAGATTAAGTATCCATATAGTCTATCCGTGAAGAGTCTTTACGAAAAATGTTTCTTTTTCTATATTTCTCAGAAATGCAGAAATTTAAGATATTTTGAAGACGAACAAAGGGGATACAAATTAAAGATAAATTAAATGAAATTCTGAACATCATTTGATTTACAAGTGCAATTCTATTCGAATGCCTGCTCGTGCCTTAAATTATGCACGCACTGTGCTGTGGTCTTCCTCTACCATAAAGCTTGGACGTCGCCGAAAGATCATTAAAAAGTGTCTTTGTTACTGAATATCCATTTATATATAGCTAATAAGGACAATGGCAACGTCATATGCTGGTTTTGCATTTGTAGTCCTTCTCTTTTGTTAATTTAAAGGAAATAAATGTTGGAAGTTAGGAAATATATAGAACATGCAAAGATCGAAATTAATATTTTTATTTTCTAGAAATATTGCGCATGCCATAGAATATTTCATTACGTGCTCCATCCGTTAGAATTCGATTTTTTATAATTATATCCATGTTTTCCAACACAAAAATATCATATCACTCCACAATTAGTTCAACTTTCATGTTTCACGTTAAACATCAATTCCATGGCATTCATGGCTTTTTCATTTTTTTATTTTGTGTTTGTTTTAGGTAACTGTCTATGTAACATATCATTTTATTAAGGCTTTGCTATTTTAAATCCGAGTAACTGCATCACATCCGATCTAAACTTAGCCCCACTTAGCACGTAAACAAAGAAATTTAGAGCACAATTCATATCGGAGAGAAACATGAAAATGTGTGATACTGTCTGAAACAGATAAAGTGAATTAAAGTGAAATCTAGCAAGATGTAAGAATACATATGGAGACATAGTTAAGACAAAGACGATGTTTGCTCCAAGCAAGGTCATGGTAACTGACTTGTTACGATGTTTGTTGGTAACTTGCTTGTTTACGTTAACGCGAAGTAGATTAACAATGATGTAAACTGAGCCAATTACGATGATGTTTATTGGAATAAAGAAGGAGTTTGCAAAGTCCGTCCAGGCAATAATCAATTCACCATCATCAACTTTGTTTATATGTATCATGCCCATACCTTCAATGTATCGTATGTCAACTAATAACGTAAACTCGACCGTATTCAGACATAATATGACAACAAAGACAATAAATATAATAACTTCAGCGCGTGTTTTTGAACAAATTTCTTTTATTCTAAAAGGCATGGCGATACTTAGTACCCTTTCAACAGTTATGCAAGCAAGCATCCACGACGAAAACTGAACGTTCGAATAGGTTAAGATAACTTTTGTGGTTGTTATATAAGAGTTTATGCCGTAAACACTTACATTATATATCAAAAGAAGCCATCTCTCGAACGAGACTGACAATGCAAGCGACATATCAGAAACTGCTAGAGCAATGAAAAACGATGATGTTGAAGATTTTCTGTTCCGCTTCTGTAACATAACTGCAATTATCATAATGTTTCCAAAAAGCGATGATAAAACTAAACCAATTATTGCCCAAGCTACACAATTCCGAATTGTTTTATACAATTTTGGAAATTCAAAGTTTGAATCGTAGGTCAAATAGTCATCATTTTCAGTAGATGCATTGATACTTCCATTCGCCATCATCAAATACTCATCATTATCAAAAGATGCATTTATGCTTTCATTCGCCGCCATCAAATATATATCATTGTCAATAGACATATTTAGACTTCCATCCGCCATCATGATATTTTGTGCTTAAATTACAATCTCATATGTTTTTAAGTAAGTGAACATCAGTAATTGTTTAAGTTTTGAAAGTCTTTGTTTGCTACCTTCTTATACGAACACAGAAGTTGACGAAGGTTTTAGCAAAAGTGCCGTAATAAGACCTTAATGATCATTTATATAGCAGAAATTTTATTACGCAAATGACACGACTGCGCATGTCAACATTCAGGCTAAATTGATTGACGTCCTTTACTACTGTTCCGTAGAACATTAAAACAAATATTATTACTAAAATGAAAAATAACAAATAAACCTTGATGTTGTGAGTTTAAATTTTCCAAACGTTGTGTATATCATCAAAATATATAAAAGTAATAAAATAAAGTTTACATTTTGTCATATTTTTTTTTACTTTATTGCTGTTAATTACAACGTGTTCAATTCTTTTTTTGTTAAAGCATCTATATACGTGATACTGTCAAGGTATATAACTTTTCATTGATCTTAGTACACAGTGCACTATACAAATATCATTTAAAATTTATGTACTTTATTGTACAGTATCATTGTTATATAATGATTGTCATCCACCGGGGCAAATAATTGCACGTGGGGGAATTCTACACAAATCACGTAACAAAGTGATATTATGTGAATGTCCATTTCGTAAATAAATTTCTCTTTTATAGGTTGTTTATCTTTGGTAATGCAAACTCAGTTTAATAAGTCAGAGTTTCATAATGGCTTTTTTGCCAATTTATCACATTCGCATGTGAGCGTTTCACAAATTACTGTTGATATCTATTTATTATGAGCCACGTCACGACAAAACCAACATAATGGGTTTGCGACCAGCATGGATCCAGACCAGCCTGCGCATCAGGATCCATGCTGTTCGCTATCAGTTTCTCTACTTTCTATAGGGTTTGTAAGCGAACAGCATGGATCCTGATCAAACTGCGAGGATGCGCATGCTGGTCTGGACCCATGCTAGTCGCAAACCCATTATGTTGATTTTGTCGTGACGCGGCTCATTATTATCTTATCCGACTACGTTTTTTGTTTGAATAAACACAATTATGTGAAACTGCTTTTTCATTTTCATAGATCTTTTTGTCTACTTTTTACTAACGCGTATAAGCTAAAAATGTAAAGTTAAGTTAAAACTTTGCCATCGTCAGTCCAATAATATTACCATATTATATGAAGCAGTAGGAGCAATTTCGACCACAAATCGCAGAATTTAAGGCATTGCAAGTAAATCTAAAACCACTTTCAGTTGTGGTCGATAGACAAGGATTATTCAGAATAATTTTATACAAAATTATGTGAATATAATTCTATTTGACATGAAATCTTAATGAATTATTCAAGTTTTTAAGTCTTTAGTTTGTTTTTGTTTGTTTTTGTTTTGTTTTGGGTTTTACGTCGCATCGACACAGTGTATGTCATATCGCGACGTTCCAGCTTTACTGGTGGAGGAAGTTCTCAGGTGCCCTTCCGTGCATTATTTCAGCCACGAACGGGCACCTGAGTAGAACCACCGACGTTCCGTAAGCTAGCTGGATAGCTTCCTCACATGAAAGAATCCAAAGTCCCTGTCGGGATTCGAACCCACAGCGGTGAGGGGCAAGTGGTTTGAAGTCAACGACTTTAACCACTCGGCCACGGACGCCCTGCCCCTCCCCCCTAACCTTTTGTTAGTTAGATTCAACATTTGTACTGTTAAGCAATTGTTTTGCAACTTATATTAGTCACATTCGAGCCCGTTTCCTGAAATACACCAGTATATATTGTTTTAATTTATTTTGAATATTCACCTGTTTTGCATGTTTACAATAACGATCGACTTGTGTATATTATTAAAGGGAAACAGAAGGCAAAAAATAACTTAAGCTATTTTCGCCCTGATAGTTAAGGGGAATATTCCTCCGATCACATTTATAACAGTATAATTCATCTTTAAGGGGAGTATTCCCTCAATCACATTTATAACAGTATTCGTCGTTTAGGGGAATATTCTTCCGACCACATTTATAACAGTACATGTATAATTCATCTTTTAGGGGAGTATTCCTCAATCACATTTATAACAATATTCATCGTTTAGGGGAATATTCTTCCGACCACATTTATTACAGTATGGAATATTCTTTCGATCACATTTATAACTGTAGTCAACGTTTAGGGGAATATTCCTCCGATCACATTTATAATTGTATTCATCGTTTAGGGAAATATTCCTCCGATCACATATATAATATTATTCATCGGTCAGGAAGCTCAAAACTCATAATGTATTGCGTTAATGTTTTAGATTTATCTTAAAGGAACAATGTGAGGTAAATGACATTATCTCAGTCTATTTTTTTATCTAAAATGTCACCGGTTTGTTCATCTAAGTGTGTGGTAATTCTTCCAACTGTTTACATTTTCGAATGAATAATGCCGAAAAACAAATGCATTTATATTCCTTACTACTATGGTTATTTTACATTAATATGTCGCGATTCTGACATCGTTATCTATATCATATGTGGAGGAAGACCTCAGATGACCTTCCGTGCATTATTTCAGGCATACGATCATATAGATAATTAGCTGGTACAGAATTACACAATAATGACACCGCCAAAACTGTTTTACTGCGGTGCCGCAAAAGGAGGACTATTTTGTTTTCTCGGAAAAACATGGCGGCCACGTTGGAGAAGCAGGAAGGCGGAGATGTAGGAGGTAGAATGGTGTAATAAAGAGGAGTAGCAGAAGGTGGAGAGGGAGAAGGGAGGAGGAAAGCAGGAAAAGGCAGAGGTGGCGGGGTAGAATGATAAGGTCAAGGAAACGTAAAGGAGATCGAGTGTGGAGAAGAAGAGGGCAGCAGAATAAGGTGGAGGTGGAAGGGTACCATGATAAGGCCAATGAAGCGTGAAGGAGGCAGATGATATGCAAAGGGGAGTTGGGGTTGAGAAGATTGAGGAGGAGGAGAAGTGCGTTTGTAATTACTTATTGGTTTAAGATTAACAAGAAACAGGTGTTATTTAGGAAATATGATTAAATCAATCAGGCTTTCTGCAAATATTACATAAATTAAATGTTAAATTTTGTGAAAAATGCCATTATAACAGTTATTCCTAACAACGATCAAGTACAAAGACACTTAACTTTTGCCCAAGTGTACTTAAAACACTTAAGTATTATTAGGAAATTTAGGAGAAGTTTCCCCCTGAAAATCGGAGGAAAATTCCATACTGGTTACAAATCCCAAATAGCATTGCATTACACGAGAATGCATCTTTATGCAGTAGACTAACAAACATAACTTAATGTGTTGTTATTTATAACTACGGTGCATAGCTTTCATAGATATTGATACAAACATAATGTTTTTATTCAGTTCAGAACTCCATATTCATCGCACTATTTGCGCTGGTGGTTGCTACACGAAAGAAGATTTTGATGCAAATATTAAAACAAAGAATTATATTCAATTGATATATTTACAACTTGTCCTGGTGTTATTCCAAAGAGTAAAGATTATCAAAAGTCAGGGAAAAACAAAACGTTATTTTGTGAGGTCTCTTAACAAGGTGGTGTTGGTGTGGTGGTATGTATAGTAAACACTCCGGATCACGACAGCTAGCCGAATAAATAAAACTGGAGGCAATCCGATTCGATGTGCCGAGACTTGTTATGGTCTTGTTATGGTCTTGGCTTAGTGATATTTCGTATTCTTTGTTCTATAGTAAATCAGTCATATTCTGGATTTCACTGTGCTTGATATATTGTATACTGTCTTCAACTTAAAACGTCCGCACTATCTAAGTCAAATAAGGCCCGATAAAAAATATGTTAGCCATCTATTTTTCAGAAATCTTCATGCTGTTAAAACACTGTTTAAATTCGCCACTTTATAAACTCCTGACTGCTGGCGGGTAATAAATCTTAAATCCTTCCGCACTAAAATGAAGTCCTGGAGAATACACAAAAAAATACTTTTAGAGACATCATATAAAACACAAAAGCTACACAGTTGCAATAAATACACTTTAATTATGACCAACCAACTTAGAGATGCCGTAAATTTGTACACTTCAAAATTAAAAAAAAACTGCTTTCTAGACTAAAACGGATAAGGTCTAATTCCGTACCGGGGTGACACCTTATTTACATCTCCGAATAGTTTATTCATCCCTTGCTGATGAAAGGGCCTTGATATTTTACACCTTTTTATCTATTGTCTCAATAATCTATACAATACCTTTTAATACAAAGAACAGTTAGCAACAAGATTACAACAACAACATATCTTTAATTTACTCAAAAATGCAAACAACATGTAATATGAGGATAAATGTCAAAATGTTCAACGAGGCATTTATACAAATTGAAATCGGACTATGATTACTATTACAATTCTCGTGCATCGGTACTTATTTATATAGTACTATTGTCACGTGATACAGGTATTTTTTTACCTTTAAAAGTGACTTGTCATGGGTCACTGGAGTGATTATGCTTGTCTATTAAAGGCAGAATGCCTAATGAAAATTATGTCAAACATGTGCGTAATTGATCAAAACTGTTTTGTCAATAAATATCAGAACGTTATTTTTTTACATTAGCATCCACTTCGATTATCGGAGCGTTCTAATAATTAAATATCTATATAAATGAAGTTGAAAAACATTCCCACCGCAAATATATATATATATGTTTAAATTTTGGCTTGTTCATCATGCTTTGTCTTAAGAGACCGTTTCATTAGCGACCAATTTGAGTGTTTCCCTTGCGCGGTCGCTTAATACACGTTGACTGTATTTCTATAGCTATAAATATGGTTTGTTGCCAAGGAAATATTCTATTCTGTTTTATTAAACATCTGACTTGCTCCTATTTCGTCAATATTATATACATGTTTGACTTTTCTAAAGAATAAAAATGGCTTTTAAAGGCATAATGTGACTTGAACAATGAATTAATTATTATATGCTAAATTAAACAAAACGTATATAAAACCTCCCAGCTATTTTCAATGCCCTAATTTACATAATTGCGAACAGGTGTGATAAGATTGAAATTTGTTCACATAAACAAATTAATTATTAATCGCCAATGATTCATA